AATTTTGGAGGTGCCCCTCTTAATTTTGGAGGTGTCCCTTTTAATTTTGGAGGTGCCCCTCAATTTTGGAGGTGCCCTCTTAATTTTGAAGGTGCCCTCTAAATTTTGGAGGTGCCTCTCTAAATTTTGGAGGTGCCCCTCTAAACTTTGGAGGAGTCCCTCTAAACTTTGGAGGTGTCCCTCTAAATTTTGGAAGTGTCCCTCTAAATTTTGGAGGTGCCCTCTAAATTTTGGAGGTGCCCCTCTTAATTTTGGAGGTGCCCCTCTTAATTTTGGAGGTGTCTCTCTTAATTTTGGAGGTGTCCCTCTTAATTTTGGAGGTGTCCCTCTACATTTTGGAGGTGTCCCCCTCCCCAAAATTCACCTCTTGCCACAGCGTTCGCAGACGTAGGGTTTCTCCCCCGTGTGCTGACGCACGTGGGCGATGAGGGAGCTCGCTTGGGTGAAGGCTTTCCCGCAGATCAAGCACTGACACGGCTTCTCTCCTGGGAAAAAAAAATATGTGGAAATCAACAAAATAAAGATGAGGAATGTGATTCTCTCCCAAAATCCTTCAGGGATGAGTGGTGTTCTCACCGGTGTGGATGCGGACGTGTCGTTGGAGCGCCCCGGGATCGGCGAACTGGCGCTGGCAGTGGACGCAGACGTAGGGTTTCTCGCCGCTGTGGATCCGGAGGTGACGTTTCAAGTTGCCTGAGAGCAAATGAAGTTCAGTTTTGGGGTACAGGGACACTGAAACTCTCCCTTCTTCCTTCCCAACACCCCAAGAGCTCCCTTGGGAAAGCCTGTTGCTATTTAGGGAGCAGGGACCACACAGGAGAACCACGTGGCTGATCCCTGGAGTTGAGGATCAGGTGATAACATGGTGGTGGGGACAGTCAGCAGCAGCATCTGATTTTTGAGGGGATGGTGAGACTCTGTCGGGCTCATCTGGACCCCTCTGGCTCTGCAGAGATTTGGGGAGATGGGAGGAGACATCTCCATCCTCAAAAGTTGGATCAAGGGCTCCTTCCAGGAGCATCCCAGGGTGTGATCCCATGGGGAACACCATCCTGGCTCCGCAGAGGGGGAGAAATTTATACAGCACAACTGTGGCACCACAGTGAGAGGTTAAAACAGTCCTGCACCTGGGGTGAAATCCTTCCTCCAGCTCCAATCCCTCCACAGATCATTCCCTGCCCCACTGTGCCCAAGGACAAAATCCTTTCTCCAGCTCCAATCACCCCACAGATCTTTCCCTGTTCTCCCCATGCCCAAGTCTGAAATCCTGTCTCTGGCTCCAGTTCCTCCACAGATTGTTCCCTCTCCCCCCATGCCCAGGGTTAAATCCTTCCTCTGGCTCCAACAAGCCCCACGGATTGTTCCCTGTCCTGTGCCCAAGGACAAAACCCTTCCTCCGGCTCCAATCCCTCCATGGATTGTTCCCCCTGTGCCCAGGATGAAATCCTTTCTCTGGCTCTGATCCCCCCACGGATCATTCCTTGTCCCCCCTGTGCCCAAGGACAAAATCCTTCCTCCAGCTCCAATCCCTCCACGGATTGTTCCCCCTGTGCCCAGGATGAAATCCTTTCTCTGTCTCCAGTCCCTCCACAGATCATTCCCTGTTCCCCCCTGTGCCCAGGGTTAAATCCTTTCTCCAGCTCCAATCACCCCATGGATCTTTCCCTGTTCTCCCCGTGCCCAAGTCTGAAATCCTGTCTCTGGTTCCAGTTCCTCCACAGATTGTCCCCTCTCCCCCCATGCCCAGGCTTAAATCCTTCCTCTGGCTCCAACAGCCCCACGGATCATTCCCTGTCCTGTGCCCAAGGACAAAACCCTTCCTCCAGCTCTGATCCCCCCAAGGATCTTTCCCTGTCCCCCCCCATGTCCAGAATGAAATCCTTTCTCTGGCTCCATGGATCTTTCCCTGTCCCACCTGTGCCCAAGGATGAAATCCTTTCTCCAGCTCTGATCCCCCCACAGATCATTCCTTGTCCCCCCACACCCAGGGTTAAATCCCTCCTCCAGCTCTGATCCCCCCACAGATCTTTCCCTGTTCCCCTCATGCCCAAGGACAAAATCCTTCCTCCAACTCCAATCCCTCCACGGATCATTCCCTGTCCCCCCATTCCCAGGGTTAAATCCTTTCTCCAGCTCCAATCCCCCCACGGATCATTCCCTGTCCCCGCCCCGTGCCCAGGATGAAATCATTCCTTTGGCTCCATCCCCCAAGGATCATTCCCTGTCCCCCCATTCCCAGGGTTAAATCCTTTCTCCAGCTCCAATCCCCCCACGGATCATTCCCTGTCCCCGCCCCGTGCCCAGGATGAAATCATTCCTTTGGCTCCATCCCCCAAGGATCATTCCCTGTCCCCCCATTCCCAGGGTTAAATCCTTTCTCCAGCTCCAATCCCCCCATGGATCATTCCCTGTCCCCCTCCACACTGGTCAAACCCCCGTGGCTCAGACCTCACCACCTACCACCCCTGTGTGCTACCTGAAGTGGTGAACTGTTTGCCGCACTCCCGACACTTCAGGGGTCCGTCCGCGATGTGAATCTTCAAATGAGCCTTCAAATTCCCCACCTGAGGACAGACAGAAGGATGATCCCTTCCCCCCACATCACCCCCATGAGGATCTGAATGGCCATGGAGCCGCTTCTTCAACTCACCTGGTTGAATTTCTTGTCGCAGTGAGGACACTTGTGCTCTTTGTTGGTGTCGTGAGTCTCCAGGTGCCGCATTTTAGAGGTGGGATCGGAGAAGGAGCGCCCGCAGTAGTCACACTGGTAGGGTTTCTCCCCGCTGTGGACCAGCTGATGCCGTTTGAGGTTGCCAGAGGTGGTGAAGAGCTTGCCGCAGTCGTCGCAGCGGTATTTGGCCTCCCCCGTGTGCCGTTTCTTGTGGAGGTTCAGCAAGCTGATGAGGCGGTAGCTCTTCCCGCACTCCTCGCAGCCGTAAGGCTTCAGAGGGCTGTGAGGAGACAGAACCATCACACCAGGGAAGGAAGAACCACCGTGCTGAGCTCTCAACACCCCAATCCAAGCTGTCACCCCAGTTAGACCCACCCGGATCCCACAGGACAACTTGAAACGACGCAAAAAGGAAGGACAAGGAGCAGAAAGAGAAATCTCCTCCCAAACTACCCCACCACGCTGATGATTTCACAAGGATCTCATTGTTTTTGCAGCAAAAGCCCTATTTTTTTGGTGCTGCTGGTGTCTTGCCACACCAAGGAGCTGCTGGGAGCATCCCACCCTGCGGCACAGATCCCACCGGCCCGATCCGAGAGGCAGAGGGGTGCTGGCTGCTGCACCAGCCTCTTGCTCCAGCCCTGCCCTGGTTTTTAGCTGGAACAGAGCTGGGTTTCATTGTCAGTAGGTAGAATAGTGCTGGGTTTTGCTTTTCAGCTGGGATTTGTTATGAGACAGACACTGAGAACATCCCAGTGTTTGCATTTTTGTCACTGGAAGGGGAGGACTTTGTGTCCAGTCAGTTTCCAAGCACAAGGTTTAAGGGGGTGAGGAATATTGAAATTAATAAACTAAATTGGCACTTGGATATGCCAGTGGGATATTCCATCTCATATATCTCGGATATTCCATCTCATATATCTCAGATATTCCATCTCTGTTATATCAGTGAGGGGCTCTTCCTCTCTTGCTCCCTCTGGCTTTCGCTCGGGCTCTGGCTCTCCCAGGATTGTGGTTCCTCCGGGATCGTGCTCCGGGAACG